GAAAATTATTCCCCGCTCTCTCCTGATGCACTTCGGAAGAATGCCTGCACCCCTCCCCGTATTGCGTTTTTAATTACACACATGTTTGGCGCGAATCCGTTTCTCATATTTGTTCGTTCCATCGGAACGTGTTCCGCTCTTCCATAATTTGGTTCCCGCTGTAACGCTGGCCTCGTTTTCGAGCTTCCGCTCGGTTCGAATCCTCCCGCGTGCTGTTTTTACACAGAGGATTAGGGGAGCGTATTGTTCAGATCTGTTGTTCGATCGGAACTTGTTCGGTTCTTCCGACACGCTGCTCCTGCGGCAGCGTTGGCCTCACTTTCAAGCTCCAACCGCCGTCCACGAGGAAGACAGCTGGGCCGTCCTCAGGTTGGATCTTAAGTCGGGGATGAAAAAAACTGCATAAACATAAAGTTTCGGCGGTCCTCCGTGGATTTCTTGAATCTGCGCTGGGACTCCCTAGCGGCGCTTCCAGCGCCCCCTCTCCGCGATCCTCCTCCCGCGGCCGCGGGTGATCAAACGAATGCAGGAGGACGATAAATGTCCGCAAGGCGGCAAAATAAAACGCCAGGGGGCAGACGACTAAAAAAACAGTTTCCGGCGGCAGAATTGTAGTAGTCTGCCCCACTCATTCATTTTGGGCCTCCTGGGACGAGGGGGTGGGGTGGGGCATTTTCTGAACCGCTTGCCCCCATGATGATGATCATGGTGGTGGTAACGGTGATGATGATGGTGACTGAGGTATGATGGTGAGGATGCTGGTGCTGATGATGACGATGGCAGCAAAAACGATGATGGTGTTGCTGATGATAATGCACATGGCGATGGTTATGGCGATGGTGGCGACGATGCTGCTAATGACCCGCGTGTTCTGAGCGCGCAAGATGATGATGATAATAATAATAATGATGATGATGATGATGATGATAGTGATCACGATGACCATGATGATACTGATGATGATAACGATGAGGATGATGGTCATGATCACGGTGATCATGAGATTGATGTTGACGTTGCTGTTAACGGTGAAGGTGATGATAATGATGCTGAGGATGCTGACGATGGTGATGGTGATGATGATGGGGATGCTGACAATGATGATGATGATACTGATAATGATGATGATGATGATGATGATGATGATGATGATGATGGTGCTGACGATAACGATGATGCTGTTTATGATAAGGATGATGATGCTAATGATCGTGGTAGTGGTGATTTAGATGGTGATGGTGACCATGTAGTTGTGTCCATGGTGATGGTGATGGTGTTGATGACGATGATGATGATGCTAATCCGGGTGACGATGCTGATGATGATGACGATGACGAGTATGATGATGGTAATGGAGATGACGATGTTGATGACAATGGTAATGACAATGCTGATAATGATGATGCTGCTGATGATGATTCTGAGGATGACGATGATGATGACGGTGATGATGATGATGATGGTGATGATGATGATGTTGACGATGATGATTGTGATGGTGATGGTGATGGTGATGGTGATGGTGATGATGATAAAGATGACGACGACGATGATTATGCTGATTATGATGTTGAGGCTGATTATGATGCTGATGCTTATGATGATGCTGACGATGATGATGCTGCTGTTGATGTTGATGTTGATGTTGCTGATGATGATGATGATGATGATGCTGATGATGATGATGTTGATAATGATGATGATGATGATGATGATGATGATGATGATGATGATGATGATGATGATGATGATGGTGATGCTGATGACGATGATGCGCGGAGGGCAGAGGCATGGATGGTAGGAGGGAGGGAGGAGGAGCAGGAGGAGGGGAAGAGAAGGAGGTGGGGCGCGGCGGCGCTGCGCACTCAAAACGAGGACCTGACACCACTTGATGACATGGTTAAGAGCAGGTGATGTTCCTTCGGTTTTGACGGACATTGCGTTTCTCCCATCGTTTGGGTTTGCGAACGCCCCAGATGGCCCAACAGACCTCCAGTATAACTCGCAGACAACCCAAGAGGCCCCGAAGAGGGCCCCAAGAAGTCCCCTTTATGAGGCCCCAAAGAGGCTCCAAAGAGGCCCCCCAAACGCCCCCAAGGGGCCCTCATAAGGCACCCAAGACGCCCCAAGAGGCTTTGAAGACCGCTGCGAGGCCCCAAAGACGGTCCAAGATGCCTCCAAGAGACCCCCCGGGCGCCCCAAGAGGCCCCCAAGAACCGCCAGGAGGCCCCCAAGACGCCCCATGAGGCCTCCAAGAGACTCCGAGAGACACTCCAAAAGACTCCGAGATGCATCCAAGAAGCCGCTGGGCCACGGGGCACCCCGAGCTCTCCAAATGATGCCATGCTCCCTGGATGAGGACAGCTCCCCTGGGCATCGTTCCTGGATGGGCTGGTCGGGATGCGCGAAGCGTTGATAATTCAAGCCCCTTCCTGCTACACGCTGCTGCACAGGCACGGTTGCGGGGCTTGCCGCAGGCAGCTGGATGACTTTCGGAGGTCCGCGCGGATGCCTTGAATGGGCGCTGGGCCCGCCTGGCAGCGCCTCCAGCGTCGCCCCTGGCGCGCGGAGCTCGCCAGGGAGGGGGGTCCAGCGTCGATCCACGGAATCCGCGCGGACCTGCGAAGGGTTCAGTGTATACACAGCTTGTCTGCTCCTCGCTCTGTCCCAGGGCTGCCAGTATATCTCGCCGTTGTGGTGTGGGGCGAGCTGCCGCCGGCCGTTCAGGCAGTAGAGTCTCACGCCTGGGGGCAGCTGCCTCGACTTGGCCTTCCCGCGCTCCACGGCCGCCGCGACCTCGGCTGCGTCCTCCGCCGCCTTATTCGCAGCGTCGTCGGCATCACCGTGCTTCTGCGTCGGATCCTTTCTCGGAGGGCCTCTGGAGTCAGCATCCTTGGAGGGGTCCTTCAGCCACTCGAGCTGGGCCCAGGGGATGTGGCACTTGCGCTTCTCAGGCAGCGGGGCGAAGGCCTCGTGGCAGCAGATCTTCTCGAGTTTGAATTCGCCAGCGTCGCACATGCGCGTTAGCTTGTGCCTCATGTTCTGCCACCACACCTCGTGGAACACGTTGCCCTTCTTGGCAGCCAGCCAATTGGAGGAATACTGGTGGCCCTGGCAGACCGTGTCGTCCTCAGGCGAGTCGCTGTAAGAGATGATGTCATTGCTCTCCAAATTCGAGAGCACTGGGCGCAACGGAAGCATCATCATGAAGTCGGTATCCATGTACAGGCCACCGTTGTGGTACAGGACGGATGCGCGCACGAAGTCCGACTTCGCGGCGGGGTAGGGCAGCTGGAAGAACTCCTCGGGAAGGTCGGGGACGAAATCGCGGATGTTTGACTCGTTGATCAGCACCAGCTTCATCTCCGGAGCGTGCCTCCGCCACGTGTCGAGGTTGAGCTGCACGAGCAGGCTCGGGCCCTTCGGGTAGTCCCAGTAGGTGTACACCGTATCACAGCGCGGGTCCGCAGGCGGTACTCCGCTCGGCGCCGCAGGCTCGGCCGGGACCCGGGCCACTGGCGCGGCGGTGGGCCTGCCGACGCCCGGCGCGGCGCCCGGCCGCGGCGGCAGCCGCCTGAGCTCCTCCCCCAGCAGCGCGTATGGGTCCGCCGAGGCCCGGCCCGCCTCGGCGACCATGCGCGCCACCGCCCCGTCCAGGAAGCCGGGCACGCCGTGCGCCTCCAGGAATTGCGCCTCGGCCGGGCTGGAGCTCTGGACGACCACCCGCGTGCCACCGCGCAGCACGGAGCCGTGCAGCGCATCGCTGCACTGGGACGTGACCAGCATCCAGACGCAGATGGCGACCAGGAGGAGGAACATCGCCCACGGGACCGTGCACGTCCCTGGGCGAGCCTTCTCCCGTGCCATGGCTCTCGCTCGGTCCGAGGGGGCCGCAAGAGCGGCCAGGGGGGAAGGGAGGTTGCGGGCGAAGGGGGGGGGAGGAGGAGGGAGGGGAGGGGTTGCTCGAGCACGCAGCAAAACCAGAAGCAGTAGACAAAGCCTCCTCCTGCTCCCCTTCTCCCTGGCAGATCCGTGTTGCCAGCTCTGCTGGGGACTTGGGGGTACGCGGCGATGTACAGGGGAGGTCGTGCGCCCCCGAATGCCGCCACCGGACCGCAGCGAGCGTCACCTTCGCACCGCAAACGAGAAATGAATATCTGCAGCGCCTCCAGACTGCAATCAAGAAGAACATGTCGACGACACAACAGTAGACGAATAATGCTGAAACTACGATGGAGAAAAAAACGAACACGCGGGTAACGCTACAATAACATGATTTTACCCTGTGACAATGCGGTGAGTGTATAGTGCCAGTGGCATGCAAATATGTAGAGAGAGGGTGAACGTATGTGTAAGACGAGCGTAACGAGATAGAGACGCGGTACTACCACATATTTCTTCATTTATATACATATATGTATACGCGCTCGAAGAATGATGGTATGACATGAACAACACTGATGGTACGATGCGACAGACCAATCTAGACATACGACAAAAACTGTGCACGATACAGCAACCGAACAACACCTGGCCGATCACGTCTCGTCGCGTGCTCGACGTGGGCCCTCACCTCAGACCCTTCCTCCCTCCAATCAATGACGACGAGCGATGACAATGACGATGACGACATCATCGTCATCGTCATCGTCATCGCCATTGTCATCGTCATCTTCATCACCTGCATCATCATCATCATCATCATCATCACCATCATCATCATCATCATCATCATCATCATCATCATCATTAGCATCATCATCAGCAGAAGCATCAGAAGCATCAGCATCGCCGGCAGCATTGTCACCGGCGTCGTCATCATCCTGGTCATACTCATGATGATCATAATCGATCAGGGTCAGGATCACGGTAACGATCATGACCATCCTCATCATCGTCATCATCAGCACCATCAGCATCATCATCATCATCATCATCGTCGTCATTATCAGAATCATCATCATCGTATTCATCTTAATCATCCTGACCATCATCATCATCACAATCATCGGCATCATCATCATCATGACCATCATCATCGTCAGCATCAGCATCACAAGCAGCATCATCGCCAATATCATCAGGTCTTCCCCATGATCATCATCATCCTCATCATTATCATCGTGACAGTCGTGGCCATCCTCATCCTCATCAAAATCAGCATCATGATGGTCATGATTATGATCAACAGCATCACCACCAATAGTATCGTCATCGTCAGCGTCATACTCCTCGTCGTCATCATGATCATGGTCATGATCATGTTCATCGTCATCATCATGACCACGATGATGATGATCATCATCATCATCATCATTATCATCACAATCATCTTCATCAGCATCTTCATAATCAGCATCATCATCGTCAGCAGCCTCGTCACCGACGTCGTTATCATCATGGCCATGCTCATGCTCATGCTCATGCTCATGCTCATCATCATCATCATCATCATCATCATCATCATCATCATCATCATCATGGTTACGATCATGATCATTATCATAGTCATGATTACCCCGATCATCATCATCAGCAGCTTCATCATCATCACAACGACAATCACCATAATCGTCATCATCATCAACATCGTCATAATCATCTTCATCATCATCATACTTGAAAGCAGCATCGTAACCGTCTTCGTCATCACCCTGGTCATCCTCATTATGATAAGCATCGGTCATGGTCATGATCATGATCATCCTTATCAGCAGCATCTTCTGCATAATCATCATCGTCGTTATCATCACCATCGTCGGTATCATCATCATCATCGTCATCGTCATCATCTTTATCATCATGACCATCATCGTCATCATCACAAGCATCAGCATCAGCATCACGACCAGCATCATCATCAGCAACATCTGCAGCATCATCAATATCAACACCATCATCATCAACATCATGATCCTCACCGTCATCATCATCAGCATCGTCATCCTCATGATCATCATTATCATTACCATCCTCATCCTCATCATCATCGTCGTGACCGTCGCCGCCATCCTCATCATGATCATCATCAGCGGCACTGTCATGATCATGATCGTGGTCATGATCCTGAACCTGATCATCATCATCATCATTACCATCATCACCATGATGGTCATGACTATGACCATCACCACCACCAATTGCATCCTCATCATCAGCATCATACGCATCATCGTCATCGTCATCATCATGATCATAACCATCATGATGATCATGATCATGATCACCATCATGCGCATTATGATAATCATCATTATCATTGTCATGGTCATGTGCATCGTCATCTTCATGAGCATCATCATCGTCGTCATAATCATCATCATCATCATCATCGTCAGCAGTCGCGTCACAGTCGTCGTTATCATCATGATCATTCTCATGATCATCATCACGAAGGTAAGGGTCATGGTCATGGTTATGATCATCCTTCTCATTGGCATCATCAGCATCTTAATCATCATCACCACTATCGTCATAATCGTCATGACCATAATCAACATCGTCACCACCAGCATCATCAACATCATCACCACCACCAGCATCATGAACATCATCAGCAGCATCATCGTCATCTTCATGTTCAACATCGTAATCCACATCATCAGCATCATCACAGTGACCGTCGTCGCAGTCCTCATTGTGATAATCATTGTGATATTCATCATCATCTTCATATTCATTATCATGATCATGGTCATGATCCTGAACCGAATCATCATCATCGTCATCATCACCATCGTCATCATGATGGTCATGATTATGATCGTCATCACCACCAATAGCATCCTCATCATCTGCGTCATGATCATCGTAGTCACCATCGCCATCATGATCATGACGGTCATCATGATCATGATCATCATGCTCTTCATCGTACTCCTCATCATGATCATGAACATCATCATGCCCTTCGTCATCTTCATGATCATCATCATCATCACCATTATCATCTTCATCAGCATCGTCATAATCATCATTACCATCCTCAGCAGCCTCGTCTCCGACGTCGCTATAATCATGGACATGATCATGAACATCATCATGGTCATGATCAGGATCATGATCATGGTCACGATTATCCTCATCATCATCATCTTCATCATCATCATCATCGTCATTATCATCAGCATCGTAATAATCATCTTCACCTTCATCATCATCATTGTCAGCAGCATCGTCACAGTTGTCGTTATCATCATGGCCATGCTCATGATTATCACCATCTGTCACGGTCATGATCATGGTCATGATCATGATCATCCTCATCATCATCAACATGTTCATCGACATCATCATCGTCATTATCATCATCGTCACCAGCTTCATCATCATGACCGTCATCATCATCACAATTAGCAGCATCATCATCATCACAATGACCACGATCATCATCATCAACAACATCAAAATCATCATCACCAGCACCATCATCATCAGCATCATCACCATCATCAACATCATCATCAACAACCTCATCATCATCATCATCATCATCATCATTATCATCATCATCATCATCTCCCGCCCTCACTCCCTCACTCCCCGCCCTCGTCGGCTTCGCCCGAGAGAGGCTGCAGAAAGCGTAGTAGAAGTCTTCGCCGAGCAGCACTGGCGCAGAACCGGCACCGCGCAGGAAACAAAGAAGTTCCCTACCACCCTACATCTCCTTCTCCCTCACCTCCATGCCTCCCTTCACCGTCCACCCCCCCCATCGCATCGGACTGGGCGCGCCCTGCCCTCCCGGAGAAACCCAAATGCACCGATACCGCGACGCGCCGGTCGGAAGAAGTATCGGGTTCAGGCCCTCCCAGAGAACAACAAAACACAGCAAAAGCACAGCGATTCTTGAGGTAGGAAGGCGCTTGAAGTAAATTGGCATTGGGATCTGGGAATCCAAAGTACATGCTTTCAGCGACCGGCGTGTACTCCCCAGACCTCTCCTGGGGTACGTTCTGACCAGAACTTCGAGGCGAATCCAGCAGCGGCGACGAGGGCCGCCCAGGAATCCCAAAAAGGCAAGAACGAGGCTAGGGGTTAGAGGTATGGGTACCTCTTCCTCGCCGCCCCCCGGCCCTCGAGCGTCGAACCCTCGAGCCTCGAGCCTCGAACCCTCGGGCGAGCATCGACCCTCGAGCGAGCATCGGTCCATCCCCCTACGGAGGAAGATGAGGAGAAGGAGGAGGTGGAGGAGGTAGAGCAGGAGGGGGAAGAGAGGGAAGGAGGAGGAGGAGGAGGAGGAGGAGGAGGAGGAGGAGGGAGAGGAAGAGGAGGAGGAGGAGGAGGAGGAGGAGGAGGAGGAGGAGGAGGAGGAGGAGGAGGAGGTGGAGGAAAAGGAGGAGAAGGAGGAGGAGGAGGAGGCCTCCCGCGCACCCGCCGCAAGCCCGCCTCGCGCAAGGTCGAGCGCAGCTGACTCAGCGCGTCCTTCGAGCTGCGGCACTCTCCTGGAAGAGAGGGGCACAGCCGAGGCACCAGTGCCGAGGCGGTGGCCCGTCGGGCTAGGAGCGGGAGGAACGCGAAGGGGGGCGGGTTTTGTTACGGCTGGCGCTGCAGAGATCGCGTGCAACATCGATCTCCGAAGAGCTCGCTGCCCCCGAGCGCAGCTGACTCAGCGCGTCCTTCGAGCTGCGGCACTCTCCTGGAGGAGGGGGGGCACGGCCGAGGCACCGGTGCCGAGGCGGTGGCCCGTCGGGCTCGGAGCGGGAGGAGCGCGAAGGGGGGAGGGTCTCTGTTACGCTGTTACGGCTGACGCTGCAGAGATCGCGTGCTGCATCAATCTCCGAAAGGCACGCTGGCAGGTGTTGATGGCGAGCACGCTGCACGACGCCTAGCCGCCCTCGCGCGAAGCGCGAGAAAGTAGTCAAAGGTGTGGATCCCCAAGAGGCGATCCCCCCTTGCATGCCCCCTCCTTATGCGCACGCTGTCCCTCTGGCGGGGCCTCGCCGTTGCACGCCAACCTCCCGCCAGTGCCTCCTCGGTGCACGCTGTCCCCAAGGTTTGAGTAGGGACCGACCGTCCCGGCATTCGTATAGGGATACCACGACATGTTCTAAGTGAGGCTTTCCGTTCAAATCCCTGCGTGGCGTTTTCCTCAGGACTCCTGTTGCGAGGCGCTCCGATCGAATCCCTTTTTTGCGCTGTCCAATGGATGTCTATTGCGAGGCCGTCCGGAAAAAAACCTCTCCGATTTATTTCAAGAGGGTCCCACTTGGTCGTTCCCACAGAATCCTGCCCAGGCGCTTTTCAAAAGGATTGCAAATATGATTGTTTCTGGCAGCATGCGTGTTGAATTATAACGCTTTCCAAACAATCCATATTGTGAGGCTGTAGAATGGAATCCCTGTGTAGCACTTCGCACAGTGTTCCAAGCGCGAGGCTCTCCAATCGAATAATTAGGTGGTGCTTCCCGAAAAGTTCCTCGTGTGATGCGACCCGCTAGAAACCCTCAGCATTGCGTTCTAACGGGTTCGTTTGTGATACTTTCCGATAAGATCCGTGTCGTAATGGTTCCCAGCGGATTCCTGTTGCGAGGCCATAGAAACAATGCGGGGTGTTTTCCGACGGCTTTCTGTTGCGGGCGTTTCAATACAACCCTGTGCTCGTGCTGTCCAAAGGATCTCTGGTGAGAGGCCTTCCAGTACAACTTCTTATATTCCTTTCCGCAGGATTCCGGTTGTGAGGTTTCCCCCAGAGTGTCCCTCTGGAGCGCTTTCCAACGGATTCCCAATATGATTGTGTCTAGCAGAATGAGCTTGTAGCGCTTTCCAAAGGATCCCTGTTGTGAGGCTATCCACTGGAGTCCCTGTGTAGCACTTCGTACAGACTCCCGAGTGCGACGCTTTCCGATCGAACCCCTTGGTGGTGCTTTCCAAAGAATTCCTGATGTGAGGCTTTCCAGTAGTGTCTCAATGTGGCGCTTTCCAAAGGTTTCCCTTTGTGATGCTTTCCACTACGAATTCTCAGCAATGCTTTCCAAACGGCTCCTATTATGAGGCGCTCCGATATAATCCCTTGGTAACAATGCCCAGCGGATTCCTATTGCGAGGCCATCGCATCTCTTTGCAGTGCTTTCCACATGGATTCTATTGTGACGCTTTCCACCAGAAGCGCTCAGTAGGCTTTCCAAAGGAATCGAATTGTGATGCTTTTACTGGCAGCCGCCAGGAAGCGTTTTAGTGAAGATGCTAGCAGAATTATGGTATAGCTGAAGACAGAGAGAACGAGAGGGAAAGAGAAAGAGAGAGGGCAATGAAGATGTTGAGAGATAGTACAAAAAATGAAAAGAAAGAGGGAGAGAGAGAGAGAGGGAGAGATAATGATATATAGGGAAGGCTCATAACGAAGAGGGAAAAGGATACGAAAACCCATGGGGAACCCCGTGTGACTCCACAACCCCCCAGCCTCGAGCACAGAAGGGGGAAGGGCGGAGAACACACGAGGAGAAAGGGGAAGGATGACCAGGAGGAGTCCGCACGCGCACCTCCCTCGAAAGTCCGGCGGGACGACCTCCACGCCATCAGCTTTTCGCGTACGGCGGATTCGTGTCGTAGCGACCCCGGCGTTGGTTTCTGACACCGCTCGGGAGCGGCCAAGAGGGGGGTGTCCAAGAGGGGGGGGGTGCAAATCATGACCGGCGGCATGTGCGCGGCCCAGCGGGGGGGCCAGGGACGTAATGAAACAAGAAGAGGCGCCATGAGATCTGGGGACATATCATGGCCCCCGCCATGATATCCACCCCCCCCTAGTCATCCCCCCCCCCGAACCTCGGGAGACTCTCCATGGGGGGGGATCCCATGGGGGGGCAGGAGGGGATCCCCCCCATGGGATCCGCTCCTGCCCCCCCCATGGGATCCCCAGGGGATCCTATGGGATCCCCCCCCCCTGGGATCCTATCCCCCCATGCCGCTGTTGGGCAGGCGGCCTCCTGTCTCGAATGGACACAGGCCGCGGCGGCGCGGACAGCGAGTCCTGTTCAAAATGAACAGGAACTGCTGTTGGGCATTGTGCCCATTCTTTCGGTGCCCATTTCGGGCGTCCAGATTGGTTTCTGACACCGCGTGGATCGTTCAAACTTGAACGGTTGCCGGCTTTTCGAATCGCCAGACCGTTCCACATCGAAGCGGACTCTGGGGGCCACCGGCGGCGCTCCGCCTCTTGGAGCGCTCGCGGTGAAGTCGCGCGCGGGGCGGCACGACGCGAGACTGGCGTGCCATTCGTCGGTGCTGCTCATTCACTGCGCTGGGCCTTCGAACACTCGACCCCGTGCCCAAGTCAGGGGGGCGTAAGACCCGGGTACAGGGGACTCGGAAATCCCCGACGAGGTTGTCAAAAAAATGACGAGGCCGAGCCTGCATTTTGACGAGGCCTCCCGCTGCAGACATCCCACGAAACTCCTACTCGTCAAAATCCGAGTCGCGGTCGTCAAAAAACGATGGCGAACCCGAGTCCTGGCAAACCCGGGTCTTACGCTCCCCCGACAAAGGGCTGGTGTTTTTTCGTCGCGGGTACACCCATTGATTGGAAGAAGTGGGTAGAAGGCGCTGGATGCAGATTGGGCTTCCGACCGCCACTTCAAGGGGAGGGAAGAGCGAAAACCACTTGAATTTTGACGAAAACGCCTAAAACACATCTGGAGATGGGAAGTTAAACACACATGCGTGCAACGACGATAGGGTACTTGTTCGATGGACCCGCGGCCCGAGAACTGCCGCTGCCCACCGAAAGCGTCAAAAACGCGCGCGTCGCAACCTTGTTCGCGATGCTTACAAGTATGGGTACCGTCGCCGCATCTTGTCGTTCCTCCTCCACGTTTCCCCTCGTGCGTCCTTCATCTTTCCCTCCCTCCTCTCTCCTCCCTGATCTCGCCTCCTCGCCCTCCTGGTCCTCCTACGCATCCCTCCTGTTGCCGATGCGCAAACTTGAGCCGAAGAGAGGCACCAACACCTCGAGCACGCCGAACTGCAAAACAAAGAAGTGCCTGAGCACGACGTGCGGTCAACATCGATGCGCGTGCGGCCTTGCAGTTTGAAGAATGACAAACCAGAAGAGGAAGAAGGCTAGCACTCGCGGGCATTGAAGTGGGCTTAGCGGCAAACTTACCCCACAACCCCCACACATCATACATCGCCCCTCCCGGTAAAGCAAACCAAGTGTGCGACTATGCCAGACTCGTGTATGTGTGTCCGCCGTGTGTCCGCGTTGCCATTGCACAGTGGGGCTAGACAGTGCCCTCACCTAGGGACGAGAGATGCGATGGATCCCTGAATATGGTGGCAACTAGAGGTAAGATTATGATACGTGCTGTGGGACGCGATGTGACGAGGAAAATGTGCCCTCGCCGAAGGTCCTGTAGAAGGTGCCCTCACCGAGTCTTTGATACGGTGGGTTTGTGTCGTGACGACCCTGACGTTGGTTCCTGTCACCGCGGGTATCGCTCAACCTTTAACGCTCGTTCGTTTCCGAAACCTCAAACCGGTCAACGATGAGCCGATTCTGGGTCACTGGCAACGTTCAACGTTGAACGCTGGTGGCGGGGTCGCCACCGGACGACACGACGCGAACCTACCGTACAATGCGCCACTCCTCAACCGCTACTTGATCCTCTTGATGTCGTGCTCCTCCCCCTCCTCCTCCCCCTCCCCCTCCTCCGCGGCTGCGGGATGGTGCGGCGCCAGATGAAGAAAAGTGTAAGGCCTGAAGCGCCAGTGTAACGATGCCCTCTCGAAAGAGTCCATGCGGGAAATGGTGCCCCCTGGGCCTTGTTGGATTGATGGAGGTGTTTGAGATGATGGTGGTGCGATAGCGCAATAGCGCGGATGCAGCTACACGGACAGAGAAAAGGAGGCGGCGTGAGCTGAATGACGATGGCGACCGAGTGGCCGATGTAAAGGTGCCCAGTAAGCTCGGCAACCTAACTTCGTCACATCCCCATCCAGAAGCTCGGCAAGCTGCGTGTGACTGCGATTCGAGTAGAGGCCTCCCACTCGTCCTCCTCCTCGTTCTCCTCTTCCTCTCCATCTTAGCTCCTTCCTAACGTGGCAAGCCCTCGTCAACGGTCTGCAGGAATGGCACCTCTGATTGTATGAGGCCATACACAAGCAGTGATAACTGACAAAACATCTGGAACCATGCTTGAGAACTGATGCTCACTGAGCCTTGTTAGCGCTCGAGGTACAGAAGGTAAATGACACCGAACAGATGGCGCAGATGAAGAGATAATGATATTCGTGGCTGTCCACCTCACTCCTACCCTCCTCCTCACCCTCCCTCCTTCCTCCTCGTCGTTCGTCTCGTCCTTCTCGTCATCGTCAGCCCTGTCCTTCGGCAAGATCTGTGTGCAGGCTCTCCCTGCAGGTCGCAAGTGCCGCCTGGACTCTGCTGAGGAAGGCTTCGTCCTCGGCGCGGCTCGACAAGGAGCACCCTCGCAGGATACTCCTCCTCTGCCTCTGCAGTACGGCAGCCTCCTGACCCCTCCGCCCCAGCGAGGGCGAAGGTGGAGGTGGAGGATCAAAAGACGAAGGGGCCGAGGTGGGAGGAGAGATGAGGCGGGTGGAGGAGGGTGGAGGAAAAGGGGATGCCGGGAGGAGGAGCAGAATGAAGACGGGGGACGAGAGCGGAAGAGGGGAGAAGGACGGGAGGAGGAGGAGGATAACAATGGGGGACGGGGGGGGGTGGAGAATGAGGAGGACTGGCAGAGGCGATCACGCCACCCAGTTACCCGACGCTGCCCAAATCTCTTCTACCCTCCTCCTCGTCCTCCTCATCATCAGCATCATCAGCATCGTCGTCATCATCATTATCAACATCATCGTCGTCGTCATCATCGTCATCGTCATCCTCACCTTCGTCATCATCCTCATCATCAGCATCATCCTCGTCATCAGCAGCAACAGCTGGATCATCACAACCATCGTTAGATCATCAGCATCATAATTATCAGAATCGGTCTCATCGCCATCACCTTCCCGGTCCCCAGTCATCATAATCAGCACCAACATCAACATCACCATCAACATCACGCTCCTCCTCCTCCTCCTCAACATCAACATCATCCGCATCATCATCAGCATCATCGTCATCATCACGATGATGAGCATCCTCACCATCATCAGCATCTGCAGCAGCATCGCATTCGTATCACCATCGTCAACATCAGCATCGTCATCGTCGTCGTCATCAGCAGCACCATGCTGATCTCATCATCGGCGTCATCGTCATCGTCGTCATCATCAGCATCAGCATCGGCATCATCAGCGTCATCATCATCATCATCATCATCAGCATCATCAACATCAACATCAACATCAACATCAACATCATCATTATCATCATCATCATCATCATCATTATCATCATCATCATGACCATCCTTATCATATTCGGCATCAGCAGTATCATCACTACCATCTTCATTATCATCATGATCAGTATCCTCATCAACAGCATCAAAGGCATCATCTTCATCATCATTCCCAACCATCATCAACATCATCCTCATGACCACCGTCATCAATGTCGTCATCGTCATCTTCGTCGTACATATCGCCCTCCTCCGTCCACTCCTGTTCCGCCTTGTCCCCCTCCTCCTCCTCCTCCTCCTCCTCCTCCTCCTCCTGATGTTCCTCATTCCAGCATGTTGAGGACCGCTGGCTCAAGGACGCGCTATTCGTCAAGGCGGCTTCGACGTCGCGTCACGGCGCCCTCAGGCTGAAACTACATCGCCAATGCACTGCGCTACTCACTGTGCCAGTTCAGGACGAGGAAGACGACGACTACGACGACGACGAGGGTGAGGAGGGAGGAGGGCGGAAGATGATGGGAGGAGGGCGGGGGAAGACGACGAGGACGAGGATGTAGACGACGAGGAGGGGGATGTGGTGGATGGGGGGGGGGCGACGTGACCGGGGATGAAAGAGAACGAGAACCAGCAGCAGCAGCAACAAGGGCAGGCAGGAGCGTTGGGACAAGAAGGGAGAGGACAAAATAGCAGGGGAGGAGCAGCGGCAGAAGAGGATGATGATGCGGAGGAGGGCAAAATGGAGAATGAGGGGCGATGAAGATGGACATGACGAGGCCGGTACAAGGATACCAGGAAGCGCGACCTGGGAGAGATGATAAAGGAGGGAGAAAGGAGGATAGGAGGCATGATGCATGGGCGACAGTGAGGGATTGAGGGGATGAGGGGGTCAGGGAGGGATGCGGGGAAACAGTGAAGCAGTGGGAAATAATACAGGATGACCAAAACGATTCAGAGAAGAAAAACAGGAAACAAGGAAACGGGAGAACGACGGCGGCGAGAAAGACGAAGAGGAGGAGGGGAGGATCAGGAGGCGGAGGTCGAGGAGAAGGAGACGGAGGAGCAGTGAAGAAGCAGAGGGCACGAGGGTGACCGCCGCATGCCAGGGGTGACCAGGCATGTGAGACATTCGACTGTCCCCCTCCCCTCCCTCTCCTCCTCCTCCTCCTCCTCCTCCTCCTCCTCCTCCTCCTCCTCCTCCTCCTCCTCCTCCTCCTCCTCCCCTTGTCCCCCCTCTCGGAGGTCGTCCTGGTGCGGAGGGCTCGAGCTGTCCGTTCGCGTTCCACCCTTATAGAGTCACTCTTGGGCCGTCTTCGAGGCCTCTCGGGCCGTGCCTCGGGGCTCTAGTGGGCAGTCTGGGGGCCCTCCTGGGGGCCGATTGGGCCACCTTCGCGCGATCTCTGGGGCAACTTGGGCCGTCTTGGAGCGTCGAAGTTCAGAAAAGGCGAGAACCCCAATCAACCACCTCAGAAGAATAGATGGCCTGGGTCTCTCGAGGCCCTCCTGGGGGAGCTCCTGGAGCCACCATCGGGGCGTCTTGGGGGCCTCCTGGGCCGTCTGGAGGCCATCTTCCACAAGGGTCCAACATCGCGTCTCAGGGGTGGCGGTGGATGGGGGGGGATCCCCCGATGAGCTCACCAAATGTCCATCGGGCCTCTGGGGCCGTCAACCAAAAGCTCGAGAGGGGCGCCGAGCCGCCAGAGAGGCCTCCAGAGCGATCAGGATGGCCTGAAGGCGGCCCGGGAGGCCCCGAAGACGCCCCGAGAGGGTCCTTCAAGAGGACTCCCCGGAGGGCCCCACGAGGCAGTCCCCCGTTTTTTGTTGTTGCTTTCTTGTCGCCGCACGGCGCAGCTCCAAGCGGCTCGGTGGCGGCCTCCCCTAGGCAGCGGACGGCTCCCGCCGGCAGGACAAGCAAGGTGGGCCGCGCAGCAGGGCGCGTCACCTGCAGGTGTCCTACACCTTGGGCCATTGGGGCCAGCTGGGGGGTCTGTCCGCCTCCGCCACCTCCTCCTCCACCACCTCCCCCTCGTGGGGCAGTCACCTGCTGCTCCCCCAACTTGCCCTGACAGGCAGCTGGCTGGGTCTGCCAAGGCCTCGCCCGGTGGGCGCCCGCGAGCACCTCGCGGCTCTGCCGAGGCCTCCGCCCTGCTGGGCGGCCGCGAAGAGCCCCGTGGGCGCCCCGTGTGCGCCGGCTCGGCCTGCCGAGGGGCCGCCCAGGTGGACGGCCGCGGGCGCCTCGGGGGGCGCCCCGTGCGCTGGCCGGGTCGGCCGCGGGTCCGCCCGGGCGCCCGCGGGTTCGCCTCGTAGGCGCCCCGCGGCGGGGTGCGCCGCACTCTTCCTTCCGCCCCGGTGGGCGCCCGGTGGTCGCCCGGGCGCCCCGCGCGCCCGGCAGGGTCTGCCGAGGTTTCGCCCGGCGGGCGGCCGTGGGCGCCGCCTCGGCGCCCCGCGCGCAGCGCAGCTCGCGCCACATCGCCTGCACCGCATGGATCGCAACTCACAGCGTGCAGCGCACACCTTGCACCGCCCAGCGTGCACCACAATAATACCACACACGCACACACACACACACACACACACACGCTGCACCGTGCATGCAACACACTGCACACTGCAGCTTGCATCGCACAGCTTACACCACAGACATTGCACCGCATAGCTCTCACCAAATAGATGGCACCACATGGCTTGCATCACACAGCTTCCACCGCATACCTGACAACATGCAGGACATCTGCAACGCATGTATTACATTCCAACGGTGCAAGAGCCTACTGGGGCTCACGCTAGCAACATTGTCCTTTATCCGCCACCATGCCTCTGGCACGAAGTGGAGTGCCCCAAGGCACACAGCTATGCTGCTGCTGCTGCTGCCAGGATTGTGCTCTCAGCTGTGCTGCTGCTGCTGCTGCTGCTGCTGCTGCTGCTGCTGCTGCTGCTGCTGCTGCCAGGATTGTGCTCGCAGCTGTGCTGCTGCTGCTGCTGCTGCTGCTGCTGCTGCTGCTGCTGCAGCCAGCACTGTACCCCAGATTTCGTAATAAAAGGGAGGGGTCTGGATCCTCCAAGACAAGCCATCCCAGAACTCCCCCGTGGGAGAACCCTCCAAAACATCGTCCCCAGACCCCCCAGGCCCTCCAAGATAGCCTGGAAGAGACCCCCCCCCCGAAATAAGACCCCCCTCCCTTTATTACGAAATCTGGAGTAGTTTTTAAAGGGCCTGCACCACCGATTTCTGAGGCGCGCTTGGCGCTCCCAGGGTGTTCCGCATGACCTCTGGGCTGGCCGCAACGCTCCAATCGACCCGCAGACTTTCGCGGAGCAGCGAGCACCCAAGAGGGTCAACGAGCGCCTCTATAGACGGCCCAAGATGGCCCCCAGATGGCCCAAGAGGCCCCAAAGACGCCCCAAGAGGCCTCCCAAGAGGCCTCCCAAGAGGACCCCAAGAGGCACAGCTCGTAGCTTTCCCAATGGTCCTTGAAGATTTGTGGGGAAGTCGCATTTTCGGCTTCTCGACACTCCAAGACGGCCCAAGAGGCCCCCAAGATCGCCCAAGACGGCCAAAGAGGCTCCAAAAAGAGGGCCCCAAGACAGCCCAAGAGGGCCCCAAGAAACTCCAAAAGGCCTCCAAGACGGCCCAAGAGGCTCCCAAAACGGCTCCCACAAGGGGCCCAGGCAGGGTCCCGCAACGGACACTGCGAGCCCGCGGCCCCAAGAAGCCCCCAGGACGCCCGAACAGGCCCCCAAGAGGCCCCAAGAGGCACCCAAAAAGCTTGCAAGAGGCCTCCCAAGACGGCCCCAAGAGGCAAACATCCCAGCAAACAGCCTAGAGGCCTTTGACCCACAACCCAGGCACGGTGGCGGGCTGGACCGAAAGCCATTCCATATTTGAGATACTTGACAAGTTTCGCGTCCTCGCCTCTTCGGGTTCCTAGAAGCCCCAGACTGCCCTCGAGGCCCCAGAGACTAGCCCACGACGGCCCATGAAAATCCCAAAGAGGGCGCAGAGACACCCCAAGAGGACCCCGAAACGGCACAACAGGTCCCCAGGATGGTACAAAATGCCCTCAAGAGGGGCCCAAGAGAGGCCGAAGAGGGGGAACTCGCCCCACCC